GTGCCAGGATGTGACCCGGGTGACAGAGGGGTGCCAGGAGGTGCCAGGAGGTGCCAGGATGTGACCCGGGTGACAGAGGGGTGCCAGGAGGTGCCAGGAGGTGCCAGGATGTGACCCGGGTGACCCAGGTGCCAGGAGGTGCCAGGAGGTGCCAGGATGTCACCCGGGTGACAGAGAGGTGCCAGGAGGTGCCAGGAGGTGCCAGGATGTGACCCGGGTGACAGAGAGGTGCCAGGAGGTGCCAGGAGGTGCCAGGAGGTGACCCGGGTGCCCCCCCAGGTTCGGGAACAGGATCTTCGGGCCCATCTGGAACCGGGACAACGTCGCCTGCGTCGTCCTCACCTTCAAGGAGCCCTTTGGCACCGAGGGCCGCGGGGGGTACTTCGACGACTTCGGCATCATCCGGTCGGTCCGGGGGCACCAGGGGGGCTCAGGGGGGCCCAGGGGTCACCGGGGGGTCCCAGGGGTAACCGGGGGGTCCCAGGGGTCACCAGGGTCATCAGGGGAGTCCCAGAGGTCATCAGGGGTCATCAGGGGAGCCCAGGGGTCATCAGGGGTCACCAGGGTCATCAGGAGAACCAAGGGGTCAGCAGGGGGTCCCAGGGATCACCAAGGGGTCCCAGAGGTCATCAGGGGTCACCAGGGTCATCAGGGGTCACCAGGGGGGTCCTAGGGGTCACCGTGGGGTCACAGAGATCATCAGGGGTCACCAGGGTCATTGGGAGAGCCAAGGGGTCAGCAGGGGGTCGCAGGGGTTACCGGGGGGTCCAAGAGATCACCAGGGGGTCCCCAAGGGTCCATGGGGGTCCAAGAGGTCCCCAGGGTGTCCCCAAGGGTCCATGGAGGTCCCAGCAGGTCCCACAGTCCCCAGCAGGTCCCCAAGGGTCCCCAGGGGGTCCCTAAGGGTCCATGGAGGTCCCAGGGTCCCTAGCAGGTCCCCAAGAGTCCATGGATGTCCCCAGGAGGTCCCACAGGCCCCAGGGGGTCCCCAAGGGTCCATGGGGGTCCCCAGGGGGTCCCCAAGGGTCCATGGATGTCCCCAGCAGGTCCCACAGTCCCCAGGGGTTCCCCAAGGGTCCATGGGGGTCCCCAGCAGGTCCCAGGGTCCCCAGCAGGTCCCCAAGGGTCCACAGGGGTCCCAGGGTCCCCAGGGCTCTCCAAGAGTCCATGGGGGTCCCCAGCAGGTCCCACAGGCCCCAGGGGGTCCCCAAGGGTCCATGGGGGTCCCCAGCAGGTCGCAGGGTCCCCAAGCATCCATGGGGGTCCCCAGGGGGTTCCCAAGGGTCCAGGGGGGTCCCCAGTAGGTCCCACAGTCCCCAGCAGGTCCCCAAGGGTCCATGAGGGTCCCACAGTCCCCAGCAGGTCCCCAAGGGTCCAGGGGGTCCCCAGCAGGTCCCCAAGGGTCCAGGGGGGTCCCAGAGTCCCCAGCAGGTCCCCAAGGGTCCATGGGGGTCCCCAGCAGGTCCCACAGTCCCCAGGGGGTCCCCGAGGGTCCAGGGGGGTTCCCAGGGGGTCCCCAAGGGTCCGTGGGGTTCCCCAAGGGTGCCGGTGCCCCCCCGGCCCCCCGTGGCAGCCGCGGTTTCCCCCCCAGGGACGTGATGCAGAACCACCTCCTGCAGCTGCTGTGCCTGGTGGCCATGGAGAAACCCGCCTCCACCGACCCCGACGACGTGCGGGACGAGAAGGTGGGCACGGGGGCACCGGGGGGCACCGGGGGGCAT